GGGGGCTGCTCTGCAGGGTGGGAGGAAGACGCGGTGCGGGGGCTGCTCTGCAGGGTAGGAGGAAGACGCGGTGCGGGGGTGGGAGAAAGACGCGGTGCGGGGGCTGCTCTGCAGGGTGGGAGGAAGACGCGGTGCGGGGGTGGGAGGAAGACGCGGTGCGGGGGCTGCTCTGCAGGGTGGGAGGAAGACGCGGTGCGGGGGTGGGAGGAAGACGCGGTGCGGGGGCTGCTCTGCAGGGTGGGAGGAAGACGCGGTGCGGGGGTGGGAGGAAGACGCGGTGCGGGGGCTGCTCTGCAGGGTGGGAGGAAGACGCGGTGCGGGGGTGGGAGGAAGACGCGGTGCGGGGGCAATGACGATCAGACCACGATTTTCTACATATATTCATGTTAAGCAAACTACATACCATGTAGTTCTAGTTTGAATTTTAGCAGCATTTGCAAACGAATTGAATTGCTGCTTTGATCTTAAACCGTTCGTCTTTGTAAATTGCCGCCCTGCCTTCTAAAACTCACCTATTATAAAAATCTTTATTGCGTGTAATTCAAATACAAGTACATGTACTGAAGACAGTCTATTTCATGAAAAACAACGGAAAAATGCAGTAGTGTTGAACAGTTAAAATAATGAAATTTCTGAGTGATACAGTACAAAACATTGCTATACAACATAAAGAAAAAATATATACAAAAAACGTCAGCATTTTCTGTATACGTAAGGAGATTAAGGTACACTTTAACATCATTTCGACACTCATACGTACACCATTATATACACATTAACACATACACACACACATATTTATATAAATATAAACAGCCTACGCTATTAGTATAATTTGCTAGTAGGTAACGACCATAGGTAACAGGCGTGAATTTGCATAAAATCTTACAATGCATGTTTTAGTGAATATATACACAACATAACAACATACACGTTACGTCGGCAGTGTAAACGTAAAAGTTTACCGTTCGACTAGTTGATATCAACTAGTTGAGAGATTAGAACATGCTTTTGGTCAGCAAGTTGACCAACTTTTTGCCATGCAGCCACTCAGATAATAGCAATCAGGAGGTCGCGGTCAATAATGTTAACTTTGAGCGTCTGATCGAAACGTTGATCAACTCGTCAACTTTTCGATAGTGTAAACTCAGCTTTACTCATACTAGTGGCTACTGAACTACCGTCAAAATTTCACTCGATACGTTTACCGGCGACATATTGTAAACAGTTCAGATTACTGAACTCTAATTTTTATATAATTTTTATATTACTACATGAAATGAAAGAAAACGGTAATTTTAAAGAGACTGCAAGGGTGAAAAAATCTTGATGGAAGGTTATTTTCATGCGTGGCACTTATAACACGGAAAAGCCTACGGCACTAGCATCGCCATGCATTCTCTTAGCAACTAAAACTTATATTGTACTGGAAATGATTGAAGATCTCAGTGCAGGATCTTATAGAGTCGACAGCGTAGTAGCGATGTAACAAGTAGCTTGTCGCAAGGTAGATGAGATGTAGCGAAGCTAGAGTCGTAGTCGCCGATGATAACAGATTCCAAATGAGACAGCATCGCAGATTAGTTGTTGGTAACTGTGTTTTTATTACTTGACACATATACAATATATACAATACCACAGCCTAGGCAACCATGCCTAGGCTCAACCATAGTCGCACAACTTCGTCTGGCTAGAAGCGCAAATGGTTAATTAGAACGCAGTGTACAATATACAACACTTACATAATTTGGCTGGATATCCTTCCCTAGTTGTTTACTGCGTGCACAGACACCACCATAACATTCAGCGACTGTGGTAGAGCTCAGCAGAGCCGTTCGCTATATATTTAATATTTAACGTCATAAATTCAGAAAAACAGGATATCAGCTACTTAATATTCGATAGGTGTGCGCACGACCTGTCAAAACCCGACTAACTCCTCGGGTCAACAGCCTATTATAAAGTGGGAGACACGGAAACTACGCACGTAATTCTAACTCGGACCCGGTCGCTCGTGACATACGTACACCCCCATATATATATATCAGAGCACGAACATCACAAGAATGAAAGTTATTTTATGATATCGCCCGAAGGCGCTAGCGTAAAATCACTTCATCCGGTCTAGACCTCCTCGTCTCTCGAGAGTCGTCGGCCGTTCACCTCTACTTCTCATCGAGCTATTCTAGATGCGCATCACGCAGTGAAATTGTCGGCCTTGATAAATCGCCTGCCAACGGGGCGGACACGCGAGAAGGAGGAGGGTCGTTTAAAACCATGTATCGTTCTTGAAAGTGCCTAACCCGTTCATGATGAGCCGAGAGGTCAGCAATCCGCGAATTCGAACGCGGCTGATAGCTATAGAGGTTATTTGAGGGACGTCGTATAGTTTGAGCATATAGGGAATAGGGGAATTAATCTGGTCGCACGGCAAATTAGCCACGGGAAAAACTGATGTCACGAAAAATTAGTAGTTCACAAATAGTAAACCTCGGTTTATCTTACTACTGCAAAGAGTAAGAAGGGGCGAGCAGGGGAGAGAGAGCAGAGGAAGTGGAGCAGGAACGAAGAATAGAGAGAGAGAGAGAGAGAGAGAGAGAGAGAGAGAGAGAGAGGGGAGGATGAGGTAAATTAAGTTAGCAGAGACCAAGAGAAAAGAAGTTAAGGGGACAGAAACGAGAGAAAAGGCAAATACGGGTGTGAAGACGGAGAAAAAAGGTAGAGGAGATGAGGCAGCGAAGAGGTAGGGAAGCACGATAGATGTGGCAGAGGAGGAGGGAGGAGAGAAAGTGACGGGGAAGATAGAGGAGAGGGCGGAGTAGGTAATAGAAGTGGAAGAAGGTAGAGAAGAGAGGAAGATAGAAGCTGGTGGAGGATGAGGAGGAGGCGATGAGGAGGAGGCGGAGAAGGTGGATCGAGTAGGTAGAGTGGAGAAGGTGGAGAAGGGGAGGAACGGTGGTAAAGGGGGTAGAGAAAAGGAGAAGCTAAAATAGTAGAGAGAAGGTGAAGAAGGAGGGATGATACAGGGAGTTAGGAGGAAAAGAAGACGGGATATATATTTATTTTACCCCCCTCCTCCCCAGCGGTTTTAATGGCGAAGGAAACTAAACGGAGATGGAGGAAGACGCGGTGCGGGGGCTGCTCTGCAGGGTAGGAGGAAGACGCGGTGCGGGGGTTGCTCTGCAGGGTAGGAGGAAGACGCGGTGCGGGGGCTGCTCTGCAGGGTGGGAGGAAGACGCGGTGCGGGGGCTGCTCTGCAGGGTGGGAGGAAGACGCGGTGCGGGGGCTGCTCTGCAGGGTGGGAGGAGGGCGCGGTGCGGGGGTAGGAGGGAGAGGCGGTGCG